GCCACAACCCACATACAGCAACTAGAAGGATGTGCAGCTATGACATACAACTATCTACTGGGGCTTTGGGGGAAAAATAAATAAATAAATAAAATTATAAAAAAAAATCAATTATCAAAAGTAAATGACCTGAAAATTATCAAATAAATCATTTGCTTAATGCTCCAGTCAGACAGATATTTTATTTTCAAATTTTAATTACTGCAAATCTTAAATAGCAAAGACTCACTGAAGATACCTGGTTCCATGTGATGCTCTTGTAAGTACCATGCTGGCAGCAAAATAATGCTAAGTAGAATTGGAATCTAAAGTTATTCAACATCTGACAATTTCTGACCAGGATAGTTTTAGATTATTCTCCTAAAGTGTGAAACTTTCTAAATATATTCTTTTCTGTAGATGACATAAAAGTTCTTAGAAAATACAGAGGGCCGGCCCTGTGGCTTGGTGGTTAAGTGCACGCGCTGCGATGCTGGCGGCCCGGGTTCGGATCCCGGGTGCGCAGCGAGGCACCACTTCTCTGTCCAGCCTGAGACCGAGTCCCACATGCAGCAACTAGAAGGATGTGCAGCTGTGACATAACAACTATCTACTGGGGCTTTGGGGGCAAAAAATAAATAAAATCTTTAAAAAAAAAAAAAAAAAAAGAAAATACAGATATCTTCATTATACCATTAATTTCCCCTGAAAATAGGAAAGTTTGAATAATTGTAACTTCTTTCTGTAGTTTCTTTCATCATAAAACATACCCAATTCTTTTAAAGATGACTCCACATATAACTGAACCGGTTGCCTTGATGTTAGATCTCAGCAGCCATTCTACCTATGCTAATACCATTTTTAATCAATATTCCATTGAAAAAGAGATGATATGCCCAGCTGAAATTACAGGGTAATTGATGTAGTCAGATTTTATTACCCATCAAATGTAAAAGCTATTAATCTCTTAAAACAGTTAATTTGTTTCTGAAAGAAAACCTTTGGTAAAATAATTTCAAATCAGGGGCTGGCCCCGTGGCATAGTGGTTAAGTTGGTATGCTCCATTTTGGCAGCCCAGGTTTGCGAGTTCAGATCCCAGGCACGGACCTACACCACTAGTCAGCCATGCTGTGGTGGTGACCTACATATAAAGTGGAGGAAGACTGACACAGATGTTAGCTCAGGGCTAATCTTCCTCAAGCCAAAAAAAAAAAAAAGAGGAAGATTGGCAACAGGTGTTAGCTCAGGGCTAGTCTTCCTCAGCAAAAAAAAAATAATAATAATAATTTCAAATCACATATTTACATTGTCTTGCATTTCCAGTTTTGAAAATGTTTCCTTTATTTTTCCAAAGTTTACTAATTCTGCAGTATTCTCAAGGACTCTGATCTCTTAATTATTTCCCCTCTCCAAAGATATCTTCAGTACCTCCCTCTCAATTTACTCCTTCCCCTTTACGTTCAAACATATCCATCTCCCTTCCTTGAAAAAAATTAACTAACCCCACTGTGCTTCAAGCTTCCATCCCATTTCTCCTCTTTGTTTCATTGCCAAACTTCTTGAAATGAATGGTCTATCTACTGCCTCTATTTTCTCGCTACTCACTCATCTCCTTAAGCCCCTGCAATCTGTTTGCATCCTTACCACCTTACTAAAACTGCACTCCCAAATATCACCTTCCCTGACTTGGTACCAACATTTCACAATGATCATAACCTTTCAGAAAAATACTACTTCCCTGGCCTCACACTATTCTGGTTCAGCATTGAACAGCGTCCCTCTGTGGGAAATGCCTTGGGAAATGCCTCAGCCTAGGAACTTTGTCTGCTCTCATCCCCACATTCTTTTTTGTGTGTGTGTGAGGAAGATCAGCCCTGAGCTAACATCCGCGCTAATCCTCCTCTTTTTACTGAGGAAGACCGGCTCTGAGCTAACATCTATTGCCAATCCTCCTCCTTTTTTTTTTTCCCCAAAGCCCCAGTAGATAGTTGTATGTCATAGTTGCACATCCTTCTAGTTGCTGTATGTGGGACACGGCCTCAGCATGGCCGGAGAAGCGGTGCGTTGGTGCGTGCCCGGGATCTGAACCCGGGCTGCCAGTAGGGGAGCGTGCACACTTAACCGCTAAGCCAAGGGGCCGGCCCCATCCCCACATTCTTGATCCCACTATTTATATAAGCCTTCAGGCCAAAGGCACCTGAGGCTGAGACAGAATGCTACTTCAGTATTAAGATGTTTTCTTTCTTGTTGCTGTTGCTCTATCCTTGTCTTCTCATCAGCCTGTTCTTGGCCCCTCATATTATAAACATCTTGGTTAGGTGCTTGCTGACTGACTGCTTACATATGCCTTACTCCACTTCACCAGTGCCCACAGCTTAATATATAAATTGACTTTAGACAACACATAGTGTTGTATCCTCTGGCATTTGTGAGTTCTCTATTATTATTGTTTATTTAGCTTTAACTCATTCCTTCCCAGATCCTCAAGCATAATGTATGCCTGGTATTTTTGTTCTGGAGCCTACCTGGTCCCTTTCACCTACTGCCAGCCATAAGATGGTATGACAACCCTATAAGGAGTTGTTAATTGAGTTTATACTCAATAAATGGGTAGTGAGTCTCCTCTAGAATATTTTGACTGCTCCTTTTGGTCTTCTATCCTTGTTCTTTTTCTTCCCAGTCCTTCACACCATTGGTTCTTAAAATTTAGTGTGTTATGACAATTCTTGAAAAATTTTTTCAAATTATAGACATGCCCAGGTTTCATCCTGATCCTAATAAATCAAAACCTCCAATGGTGGCATCTGTAGTTTAATAGGTTCCACAGGTGATTCTTATTTATACCAATATTTAAGAACTGTTGCTCTTTATTTTCTCCCTCAGAGAACTCAACTATTCTTGTGGCTTCAACAATCGCCTCCATGTGAATAACTACCAAATCTGTAGGCAGCCTGACCTTTCTTATAAGTTCCAGTCTCACATCTCCAACCTTATTGTCATCTCAAATGCAACAGGTCTAGAACTAAAATTTACAAGTCATTCCTCTACTTCTGGCTTTCTTATTTCTGTTCATTGTTCCATAATTCTCCCCAATAATAAAAAAAATTCTAGCTTATAAATCTTCCTGACTTTTTTCATCACATAACATAATCCAGGCACACTGAATTTGTTTTTAAGGAGACAAAATATCTTCCATTCAACACATTTTTGGAATAAAACTTAGAGGCTTCCTGCACTAAAGCCTGCATTCCACTGTATCTTCAAAGTACTATACACGTAATAACCACCCAAATATCTGATTCAAAACTGCTACATGCACAGAGTCAATACATTGGGAGAGGTCCTAGCGCTGCAGCTCCCACTTCATCTACCAAATCCCTGCTATTAGACAAGCAGTGAAAAACAGCCAGAGCAATGTTTCTTGATATGAATGGTAGGAGTTTAGAATTAATGCATTTTAATATCACACAGTTCGCCTGTATACTAAGTTTTTCCCACAGATAAATTTCTAATTATTCCCTCCCTACAACTACAGGATCTAAGGCTCCTAGGAGCAATGATATCAACATTTATCTGAGAGTTAAAGAGATAGAATTGTTCTCTAAACATCCTGATAGAGGAGTGAACTAATGAGTAAGTATATTGCTAACTATATTAACCACTAATTACACTATATTTACACTGAAGTTGAATATAGTTTGGTTTATATTCATAAAAATAAATACTTAGTAATAAATTCTATTTGTTGCATACAGATAAAATTCATTTGTCTTTACAAAGCCAAGCACTCCAGAGATTCACCTTTTAGTTTGTTGCCTCAATGTATCCTTTATAATGGGGCAATATACTTTCCATAAATGCATTAACTGTCACTATCCTTGTTGGAAATCAGTAAGTGTTAGCACTCTAGACCCTGCCCATTTAGCTAAAGCACTAGAACTTTGCCAGACAGTGGGCCACATTTAATGCATCCAAGCAGATGAGTTTGGTTTGGCGTTTTTGATGTGTTATTGCTCTTCTTGTTGTTTGCTCTCACAGGAAGGAAAACCTTTTATAATTTTTCTCAGTAACTCAGTCCAATGTTCATCAATTCACCTCATGAGGAAACTATTCTTTACAGATGTTTAAATATAAATCCCTCATATAGCAACATTTTTCATTCTATTATTAATGGAGAGAGGAAACTACTATTTGATAGTCCTTTAGAATCCTGAAGTTTCTGATCATCTCTTCTCCAGGAAAAATAATCTGTGTCCTTTTACATTTCCTCAAGTTCTCATTTTCCCACCCTTTACTCATCTTAGTTGTTCACTACCAGACTATTTCTTACAGTGATGCTTTTAAACTTTTATTAATAAGGAGCTAACCTCTGAAAAATCATAAAACTGAAGGAGGCTGTTTGCTTGAGAAACCACTGCTTATGGGTTGTTTTGTTTAGTTTTAACAACTCTCCATCTAAGAACTGGTCAAAATATTACTTACACTGCAGGAATACAACCTAATGTATAATAAGAATACTCATAATATAAGTCACAAAATGTATACGTACATTTAGCTTTCTGCTCTTCACTTATAACCAAACCTACTCTCTTGGTAACTGCCCAGTTCCACAGGTTTACTGCCATTTCTTCAACCTGGACAAGAGAAAACATTTTCTTAGCCAGTTAAAATACTGTCTACCTCCAATGATATTTTCTTTCTTGCATGTTTTATGTTTACGTGATTATTGTGGGTTATTTACCAGGCCTCCATAATCTAGTCCCATTCTACCCTTCCTCCCAAAAACTTATCCACTGTTAGAGTAATTATCTCACTGTCCCATGAACACAACTTGTTCATTCCTATCTATGCACCTTTATTTATATTGTTGGCTTCACCTGATATACCTCCTCCCATTGTCTTTATGTAACTCAAATCCCGTTCAGTCTCACCAGGAACATCCATGAAGCTTTCAGCAACCACTACAGTCTACATTGATCTCTCTCTTCTTTGAATTCCTATATATATTAAGTTTCACATAATTGAACAATTAATTATACTACTTTGTATCATTTATTCTTTAATTGTTTTAGTTGCTATTCTTATTTCCCAACTAGGTTCCTTGATATCAAAGATCATGTCTTATACAACTTATGTAGCACTTCTTATAGTACCCGCCAAAGTGCTAAATAAAGAATACATAATCAAATAACAAGATTTGTTGTTTTATTGTGTTTTGTTCTAGGGACTGTGGAGCAATGTTTCTAGTAGCTTCTTTTGGGGTTTATCTTTCTATTAGGTGGAACCTAGTCAACTGGATGCAAAAATAAATCAAGCTCATAGTGTCTCAAGGATAAAATGAAGGCACAAAACGTGTAATTTGGGATAGGTTGGTTTCTGGCAAGAGATCTCTGAAGGTAATAATTGTTCCTGGGTGATACTGTTGCCTGAGACCAGTATGGCATAGCTCTGGCCTAAATCTCCCAAGATGCTATGGTGATTACGATAGAAGCTACATACCATTATCTGATAATAAACGTATTTGTAGTGATATGACTAAGAGGAATACTAACTGGATAAACCAAAAAAAATCAGTTTATGTACAATGATGGTGCACAACTGTATTTTAGTTTCAATTTTTTTCTCCAGTGCTACTTTTCTCACCTACAGTTCCACATTTTTCTGATGAGCTTCCCTTTAAGCAGATTATTTATTTAGCATGGCTGTCATTTCACAGACTATTCCGGGGCTAATTCTCATGCTCATCTCCATCACTCTCACATGGTATCCCCATGCCACAGTTGACCTAATGATGACTTTCATATGAAGTATTATTTGATTTGTTTCATCGAAAACACATGGAGTTAATATTTGACTCCAAATTTCCCAGAAGAACAAATGGTATTTAGGGGGAAAAATAAACATCCAGAGTAAAACAGCTTAAAGAAGCTGCCATTTTTGGTATTTTGGAAAGTAATTTGACAATATGTAAAAAGAGCCAAAAAATGTTTATATCTTTTGACACAGTATTGTTTTTCTGAGACTCTAGCCTATGGAACTAATCCAAAATGTGGACAGGATAATCTTTTTTTATCAGTTTTATTGAGAAATAATCGACATACGTCACTATATAAGTGTAAGGTATAAGTATAATGCATACAGCATGATGGTTTGATTTACATATATTGTGAAATGATTAATACAATAGGTTCAACTTAACATCCATCTTCTCATATAGATACAAGAAAAAGAAAAAAGGAAAAAAATTTTCTCCTTGTGATGAGAACTCAGAATTTATTCTCTTAACTTTCCTATATATTATACAGCAGTATTAGCTATAGTCATCATGTTGTATATTACACCCCTAATACTTATTTATCTTATAACTGGAAGCTTGTACCACCTTCCTCCAACTCCCCCTTCCCCAACCCTCCACCTCTAGCAACCACAAGTCTGATCTCTTTTTCTACGAGTTTGGTGCTGGGGGGAGAGGGGGGAAGGGTGGTTTTTTTTTAGATTCCACATATGAGTGAGATCATACAGTATTTGTCTTTCTCTAGCTGACTTATTTCACTTAACATAACGCCTTCAAGTTTTCCCCATGTCACAAATGGTAAGATTTTCTCATTTGTTATCGCTGAATAATATTTCATTGTGTGTACATATATATACCACAAATTCTTTATCAACTTTTCCATTGATGGACACTTAGGTTGTTTCCAAGTCTTAGCTATTGTAAATAATGCTGCTATGAACAAAAGGGTGCAGATATCTTTTTGAGTTAGTGTTTTCATTTCCTTTGGATATATTCCTAGAAGTGGAATTGCTGGATCATATGGTAGTTCCATTTTTAATTTTGTGAGGATCTGGAGGGGATAATCTGTGCACTTAATAGTGTTCCTCATAACATTATTTACAATAGTGAAAAATTGTAATATAAATATAGGAACAATATAAGTATCAATAACAAAGAAATACATGGATGAATTATGATAAATTCAGTAGATGGAATATTATTCAGTCATTTAAAATAGTGGTGATGGAAACTGTTTTAACATGGGAAAATGTTTATTATGTCTCTAGTGAAAGAAGAAAGATACGAAGTTGTATGTACAAAAATTTTTACATATGTAAATTTTAACCCAAAAAAGATCTGTAATAAAACATTGGACTTTAGTTAATGATATGCATGCTGAAGCATTTAGGGGTGAAATAAACTGATTTCTACAACTCACTTTGAGATGCATCCAAAAAATAGGATGGGTTGATGGATAGATGAATATGTATTAAAGCAAATATAGTAAAAGGTTAACAACTGTAGAATCTAAGTGGCTGTTATGCTGGTGTCCACTGCAAAATTCTTTCATCTTTCCGATTGGAAAATTTTTATAATAAAAATGTTAGGGAAAGAGAAGAAATTGCCTTTTATGATGCCACAGATATTACATGTGCACTGTAATTATGGCTATATAAATTTTAAATATAGAAATTATTAAAGTAAATATATTAAAATGAGTGTAGTAATATTGGAGTGATGTGATTACAGGTGATTTTTTTCTTCATCTTTCAAACTTCATGTAAAGTTTATTATTTTATGTTTTAAACAATTTTTTTGTATTTTTCCATATTGTGTTAGAAAAGAAGAAGATTAATTGTGACTATAAACACTTCGTATTCACAAAATGCAGATTTATTCAGCAAATATGTACCAAGCACCTAATATGCAGCAGGTTTTGTGCTAAGTGTATACAAATGTGTAATGATAAACACAGTAAATAGGTGCAACAAACAGAAGTAAATAATATGAATTGGGCTTTCTAGAAAGAGGACAAATTCAAGGCACTTTCAAAATCAAGCAGACCTTCTGTAAACTAGGACGAGACTCTTCCCTGAACCTCATAATCTATTTTCACTAACAACTAAGCACAGTAAAAAGAGGTTATAATCTAAAAACAGACATACATATAAAAGAATACACTAAAAACTTTAGAATTAATTAACAAGTTCAGCAACTTTACAAGATACAAGATCAATACACAAAAATCAATTGTATTTCTATAACTAGCAATGAATAATCTGAAAATTAAATTATGAAAACAATTCCATTTATAATAACATCAAAAGAAATAAAATATGTAGGAATAAATTTAACAAAAAAGTGCACAACTTACATTGCAAAACTAAAAACATTGTTGAAAAAATTAAACAAAACTTAATAAACAGAAGGATATACCATTTTTATGGACCAGAAGACTTAATATTGTTAAGATGGCAATACTCCCCAAATCGATCTAAAGATTTAAGGCAATACCCATCAAAATTCCAGCTAGCTTCTTTGCAGAAATCGACAAGCTGATCCTAAAATTCATGTGGAAATTCAAATGACCTAGAATACTCAAAACAATCTTGAAAAACAAGAACGAAGTTGGAGAACTCATACTTCTCAATTTCAAAACTTACTACAAAGTTAACAGTAATCAAGACAGTGTGGTACTTGCATAAAGATAGACATATAGATAGATGGAATAGAACTGAGAGTCTAGAAATAAACCCTGACATTTATAGAAAATTGATTTTTGACAAGGGTGCTAACAGAAATGTAATAGGGAAAGAATAGTCTTTCAAGAAACGCACGAGGACAACTTGATATCAACATGCAAAAGAATGAAGCAGATCCCTTCGTCACACCACATGTAAAATAAAATCAAAATAGATCATACACCTAAAGGTAAGAACTAAAACTATAAAACTTTTAGAAGAAAAAGAGTAACAAAATGGCAATAAGTACATACTTATCAATAGCTACTTTAAATGTCAATGGACTAAATGCTCCACTCAAAATACACAGAGTGGCTGAATGGATAAAAAAGCAAGATCCATATATGCTACAGACAAGAACACACTTCAGACCTAAAGACACTCACAAACTGAAAGTAAAGGGATGGAAAAAGATACTCCATGCAAACAACAATGAAAAGAAAGCTGAGGTAGCAATACTTTTATCAGACCAAATAGACTTTAAAACAAAAACTGTAACAAGAGACAAAGAAGGGCACTACATAATGATAAAGGGAACAATCCAACAAGAGGACATAACACATCTATGCACGCAACACAGGAGCATCTAAATATATAAAGCAATTATTAACAGACATAAAAGGAGAAATAGACAGTAACACAATAATAGTAGGGGACTTTAACACTCCACTTACACCAATGGATAGATCATCCAAACAAAAGATCAACAAGGGAACATTGGTCTCAAATGACACATTAGACCAGATGGACTTAGTCGATATATACAGAACATTCCATCCAAAAACCGAAGAATACACATTCTTTTCGAATGCATATGGAATATTCTCCAGGAAAAATCACATATTAGGCCACAAAACAAGTCTTAATAACTTTAAGAAGACTTAAATCATATCAACTATCTTTTCCGACCATAAGCCTATGAAACTAGAAATCAACTACAAGAAGAAAACTACAAAAGCCAAAAATACATGGAGATTAAACAAAATGCTACTGAACAACTGTTGGATCAACGAATAAATCAAAGGAGAAATCAAAAAATACCTGGAGACAAACGAAAATGAAAACACGACATACCAAAATTTATGGGATAGAGCAAACACAGTACAAGAGGGAAGTTTATATCAATACAAGCCTACCTCAACAAATAAGAAAAATCTCAAATAAACAATCTAACAGTGTACCTAAAGGAACAGGAAAAAGAAGAACAAACAAAGCCCAAAATCATAGAAGCAAGGAAATAATAAAAATCAGAGCAGAAATAAATGAAATAGGGGCTGGCCCCATGGCGTAGTGGTTAAGTGCACACGCTCCACTGCTGGCAGCCTGGGTTCGGATCCTGGGCAGGCACCAACGCACTGCTTGTCAGGCCATGCTGTGACGGCGTCCCACATAAAGTGGAGGAAGATGGGCACAGATGTTAGCTCAGGGCCAATCTTCCTCAGCAAAAAGAGGAGGATTGGCATGGATGTTAGCTCAGGGCTGATCTTCCTCACCAAAAAAAAAAGAAAGAAAGAAAGAAATTAAATAGAGACTAAAAAAAAATCAATGAAACGAAGAGCTGGTTCTTTGAAAAGATAAACAAAATAGAAAAACCTTTAGCTAAACTCACCAAGAAAAAAAGACAGAAGGCTCAAATAAATAAAATCAGAAATGAAAGAGGAGAAATTACAACAGACACCTCAGAAATACAAAAGATTATAAGAAACTTCTACAAAAACCTATACACCAACAAATTGGATAATCTAGAAGAAACGGTTAAATTCTTAGACTCGTACAACCTTCCAAAACTGAATCAAGAAAAAATAGAGAATCTGAATAGACCAATCACTAGTAAGGAGATCAAAACAGTAATCAAAAAACAAAAGTCCAGGACCAGATGGCTTCCCCAGTGAACTTCACCAAACATTTCAAAGAAGACTTTTTACCTATCCTTCTCAAACTCTTCCAAAAAATTGAAGAGGAGGGGACACATCCTAACTCATTCTATGAGGCCAACATTACCCTGATACCAAAACCAGACAAGGACAACACAAAAAAAGAAAATTAAAGGCTAATATCACTGATGAACATAGAAGCACAAATGCTCAACAAAATACTAGTAAATCGAATTAAATCCATTAAAAAGATCATACACCATGATCTAGTGGGATTTATTCCAGGGATGCAGGGATGGTTCAACACTCGCAAATCAATCAACGTGATAGACCACATTAACAAAATGAAGGACAAAAATCACATGATCTGGGGACCAGCCTGGTGGTGTAGTGGTTGAGTTTGCACACTCCACTTCGGCAGCCCGGGGTTCACAGGTTTGGATCCCAGGCGCGGACCTACACACCACTCATCAAGCCATGCTGTGGCGGCATCCCATATAAAGTAGAGGAAGATGGGCACAGATGTTAGCCCAGGGCCAATCTTCCTCAATAAAAAAGAGAAGGATTGGCAACAGATGTTAGCTCAGGGCTAATCTTCCTCACAAAAAAAAAAAAAAAATCACATGATCATCTCAATAGATGCAGAGAAAGCATTTGACAAGATACAGCATCCATTTATGATAAAAACTTTGAATAAAATAAGTATAGAAGGAAAGTACCTCAATAATAAAGGCCATGAAAGACAAACCCACAGCTAACATCATACTCAATGGTGAAAAACTGAAAGCCATCCCTTTAAGAACAGGAACAAGACAAGGATGCCCACTTTCGCCAATCTTATTTAACATAGTATTGGAAGTCCTAGCCAGAACAATCAGGAAAGAAAAAGAAAAAAAAGGAATCCAAATTGGAAAGGAAGAAATAAAACTGTCACTATTTGCAAATTACATGATTTTATATATAGAAAACCCTAAAGAATCCACACAAAGCTATTAGAAATAATAAACGAATACAGTAAAGTGGCAGGATACAAAATCAACATACAAAAATCAGTTGCATTTCTATACACTAACAACAACACAACAGAAAGAGAAATTAAGAATACAATCCCATTTACAATCACAAGGAACAGAATAAAATACCTAGGAATAAATTTAACCAAAGAAGTGAAACACCTGTACACTGAAAACTATGAAACATTGTTGAAAGAAATCGAAGAAGACACAAAAAAATGGAAAAATATTCTGTGCTCATGGATTGGAAGAATTAACATAGTTAAAATGTCCATACTTCCTAAAGCAATCTACAGATTCAATACAATCCCAAGCAGAATCCCAATGACATTTTTCACAGAAATAGAACAAAGAATCCTAAAACTTATATGGAACAACAAAAAACCATGAATAGCCAAAGGAATCCTGAGAAAAAAGAACAAAGCTGGTATCATACTATCTTCAAAATATACTACAAAAACCAAAACAGCATGGTACTGGCACAAAAACAGACACACAGATCAATGGAACAGAATCGAGAGCTCAGAAATAAACCCACAGATCTATGGACAGCTAATTTTTGACAAAGGAGCCAAGAGCATACAATGGTAAAAGGAAAGTCTCTTTAATAAATGGTGTTGGGAAAACTGGACAGCCACATGCAAAAGAATGAAAGAAGACCATTATGTTACACCACACAAAAAAATTAACTCGAAATGGATTAAAGACTTGAATGTAATATCCGAAAGCATAAAACTTCTAGAAGAAAACATAGGCAGTATACTCTTTGACATCAGTCCTAACAGTATCTTTTTGAATAGCATGTCGCACCAGGGAAACAATAGAAAAAAACAAACAAATGGGACTACATCAAACTAAAAAGCTTCTGCACAGCAAAGGAAATCATCAACAAAATGAAAAGACAACCTAACAATTGGGAGAAGATATTTGCAAATCATATATCGGATAAGAGGTTAATATCCAACATATATAAAGAATTCACACAACTCAACAACAAAAAAACCAAACAACCCAATCAAAAAATGGACGTTTTTCCAAAGAAGTCATATAGATGGCCAACAGGTACATGAAAAGATGTTCAACATCACTAATTACTAGGGAAATGCAAATCAAAACCTCAATGAGATATCACCTCACTCCCATCAGAATGGTTATTATTATATAATGATGTACACTTGAAATTTATATGATGTTATAAACCAACATTCCCTCATTAAAAAATTAAATAAATAAATAAATGCTTTTCTAGGAATTAAAGAATAAAATAAAAATAATCAAGATGGTAAATTTTAGGGGCCGGCCCTGCGGCTTAGCAGTTAAGTGCGCGCGCTCTGCTACTGGCGGCCCGGGTTCGGATCCCGGGTGCGCACCGACACACCGCTTCTCCGGCCATGCTGAGGCCGCGTCCCACATACAGCAACTAGAAGGATGTGCAGCTATGACATACAACTATCTACTGGGGCTTTGGGGGGAAAATAAATAAATAAATAAAATCTTTAAAAAAAAAAAAAGATGGTAATTTTTATGTTATGTACATTTTACCACAATTAAAAATAAAACAAACACAATGAGATACCACTTCACACCCATTAGGATGACTATAATCAAAAAGACAGATGACAAGTACTGGTGAGGATGTGGAAAAACTGGATCCCTCATACACTGCTGGTGGGAATGTAAAATGGTGCACTCACTTTGGAAAACAATCTGGCAGTTCCTCAAAAGTTTAAACAGAGTTACCATATGACCCAGCAATTTCACTCATACGTATATACCTAAGAGAAATAAAAACCTAAAAACTTGTACATGAATGTTCATAGCAGCATTATTCATAATAGCTGAAAGATATAAACAACCCAAATGTCCATCAACAGATGAATGGATACCTACAATGTGGTATATCCAACGAATGGCATATTATTCAGCCATAAAAAGGAATGAAGTACAGATACATGCTACAACATGGAAGAACCTTGAAAACATTATGCTAAGTAAAGAAGTCAGTCACAAAAGACCACATATTGTATGATCCCATTTATATAAAATTTCCAGAATAGGCAAATCCATAGAGACAGAAAGTAGATTAGAGGTTGTCTAGGGGTAGGGGAGAGGGGAGGAAATGGAGAGTGTTTGTGAATGGGTTTGAGGGTTCTTTTTGGGGTGATGAAAATATTCTAAAATTAACTATGGTGATGTGTGCACAACTCGTAGAAACTAAAAATCATTGAATTATACACTTGAAATGGGTAAATTACATGGTATGTGAATTATATCTAAATAAAGCTATTATATATATAAAAAAGAGGGAGAGATATTTACAATAAACTTTCTTCTCATCTTTGCATACGTGCAGTCACCAAAATGGAAGGATTTGCCCAAGGTAAACGTTCCCAAAAGTGTTTCAGACCCTCAAGGCAATTTCCAAATTAAGTGACAAATCTTCATTTAAAGGTTTGTCTAGAAAAAATACCCCCCACAAAAGCACCCCTGAAGACTTATATTCAATTGAGTTCCCCACTACCAGGTAGTTTCTTAATTTGCTGCAAAGAGAAGGATAAAAGAACTATTATTTAGTGAATAACTACTACGTACCCAGGACCTTAAATATGTTATTTTGTTTACTATTCACAACAACACTGGGAGGTGGGTTTTATTGTTCTCCTTTAACAATTATTCTCCTTAACAAATGAGAAAATTGAAGCCTAGAGAGGTTAAAGAGTAAATATTAAACGTCAACACATATTTTTACATTGGTTTCTAAAACTCTGTTTTCCCTAAATGTGCCATTAGGCTTGAAAATCCCAAAATAGATTTCTACGTATTTAGCAATGGTTAATCATGAAGACTATTTTTTTACTTATACATTAATTAAAATGGTGAATCATTAAAACTTATCAAAAACAAAATTATTTTTATACCAACCTGAGCATCCTGTATTTCAGCCATAGACTCCCTGTTGATATTTGCTATGTCCGTGAAGAGTCTATCAATGGCCTCATGTATGCTAGGTGAATTATCTCTTACAATCAGGTTTTCAATAATTTCTGAAATAACAATGGATGATAAAAGTACTGTGAACTATCACCATTGGCTAAATGTAACAAATAATTTTGAAATCTGTTCCTAGATCTTTGGTCAAATGAATATAGCATGAAGAAACTTGAATGATCCTTAGAGTAAAACCAAACCGGACCTACCTTTCTTTTAGCTAAAAGTAGAGTACAATTTTCAAATAAAATTTGTATTCCCAAGGAGTCCCTCGTTTATAACTTAATCATCATTACTCATTCTCAGAAAGTGAAATGCACTGACGTCACAAATAGTAATCCTGTACTTTCCACTATACTAATTTTATTGGGAAGGGCCTGGAACAAGTGATATGCCAGGACTCTGAGACAACTGAAAAACAGCAGGGAGAGAAGAAATCAGCCAACACCATTCAGAGTGCTATGCTGTAATTCTGATTGTAGCCTAAGAAAAACTATTCCAGCAAGGGCTGGTTTGGATGAGGACAGCCAAAATACCCAAAATAGTGTCAAAAGGGCATGGCAAACACATGACAAACAAGATAATTAGTTTTCTTATACAATGTCCCAGGAGGTCCCAAGTAACAAACTGGGTATGGTACAAGAGAATCCAAGCAGTGAGCCATAATGCAGAAGTCAGATGGAACTGCATGCACCATAGCTCCAAGAGAACCATTCACAGCAGTGTACTGTAGTTCTGAGCAGCACCTTGGTCCTGGAGGGCAACTAGGAAAAGATGCGGGGCAGGCTAACTTCATGAAAATCATAACAAGCAGACATGATACAGCTCCCAAGCTCAACAGGTACCTAGAGTATGCCCCTAGCATGTTAAATCTCAAATCTGATGGCCGGTATGATTTCATTCCACACCAACCTCTTCTCTACTCCACAATATTATTCTTTCTTGCCCTGGACAGAGCTGGCTCAGGGACTGGAGCAAACCTAAGTTTGGGCTCATGAGGAGATAAAGCTATGTAAAGTTTTAGAGGGCAAGTGGCTGAGGGGGGTGGCAAGAACTGACAATATCATGCTAACCAAAAAGGAATTTCCAACTTGATTTTGGTGAGGAAACACATCCAGTCGCATTCAGGGCACTAAACTTTAGAGACTAAAGGACAGAATTATACTGACACTATACAAACTACATCAACAGAAGAAATGTCTTAAAAGAGCCACAACTCAATCCTCTCAATGAAATGCACATTGTGTAAATGTTCCAATGAATCTAGGTATTTTACATCTGTCACACTCCTGTAAATGCAAGGTTCATAACCAAACTCAACTTGCCAATTCATCCAATCCTATACCCAAGCATCAACTTTATAAACTATCCGTATATATTGCTCTTTTATTCTCATTATATCCTGGGACCCTTTGTAGCTAAGCCCTGCTGTTCTTGACTGAGAATCTTTTATTCAGCTAAGATCTGGTTTGTTTTAGTTACCATGGTTACCAAAGCCTAGTCCTATCTATCCAAATAACTTTAATTTAATTAATTAATCAATCTCTGTTTACTGAGTGTTAACAATGTACTAGGCACTGGAAAAAAGACTTATCCAAGACACTTGCCCAGTAAATTCACATCTAAATCAGACCAGAAGCAATACATGGAAAGGTTGGGAATGCAGTAGGTAGACTATAACAACACAGTTGGAAGGCTGAAGCGGATTAGCTAGGCTGAGTAAATTTTAGCAACTCTTACCAAAGAGGTCCCTTTGAAGGAAGAAAGAAGTCTAAGTTGATTCAACTGTCTTTGTGGTTTCTTATCTACATATTATTGTAAACTACACACGATACATATAAAACTTGCTTGCAAAAGAGGTCAAAGCTTCAATAAATCAAAAGAAAGATGGCTAATTTTCCACACAAGCTATCTTTAGCCTTTCCATTCCTAATAGGATGCACTAGTTATTTAGAGGATTGCTACGCAAACTGTCATAAACAATTAGGCATCCTATGAATTGTTTTTGATGGTGATGGAATAACACAAGAAAGCTTTATCTAAGCCCATGTGCATTTCCAAATCATTGTCAGAAATATATAGGGTCATCCCTGCTGATAGTGTGGCAATATGTGGGCACTATGAATGAAATAGACAAGAGTTCTTTTCTTCCTTCATTCAATAAACACTTAATGATAATCAGGTATTTTAAGCACCGAGGATAAAATGTAAACAAGACATAGTCCCCTCCCTTAAGGAGCTTACAGTAATTTCCACACAAGATATATGTAGATACATATGTATCAATCAACCAGTTTTTTAGAGCTGTAAATCACCATAAAATTCTAGTAACACACTCTAATTTTACAATCGATTACAATAAAGCTTGGAGAAGTTAATTAACTTGCCCAAGATCAAAGCTATTAGTAGCACAGCATGAACAGAATCCAAGACAACCACACTCTTTCTGCTTTGGCTGGTGTCTACACCTCTCCTTGTAAAACTTAATTCAATAAATGTTTATTGAATGCCTGGTATCAGGCAGATACTGGGCATCTGGCTAGGAATACAAAGATGAGCGAGGCAGTCTATGCCATCAAGTGGATCATATACACTATTAAGGGAAATTAAAATGAAAAAAAATTATAATATAATGTAATAAGTGCTGTGAGTGCAAGATGCTACAGGAATATAAAAAAGAATTGGGTAACTCTGCCCATTTGAGAGTTGGGATACAGGGATGGCAGGATAGGCTTCACTGAGGTGCTATTTGAGGTGGGATGAGTTAAGGATTGCCAGGCAACATACCAATCAGAGGGAGAAGCACAGAGGTGTGGAAAAGCACAGTGGGTTCAAATAATCATAAGTAGGTATGTATGGCTGGAGAAAAAGGTAAAGGAAGGTTACAGGAAACACGATTAGAAAGGTATGTACGGGTCAGAGCTTGAAACATACTGCATGGCATCCTAAGAAGGCTGAATTCTGTTAGTTATTCCACCTCTTTATTTCATAAACTGTATAATATGTGCATACCAGGTGACCTCAACAAATATCTCAATGAGATCTCTGCATAAGCCATATAGAAGCTATGCTCAGGACTCTGAACTATGTGACCCCCCCTTGGGACATTTCCTAATAACTCTGCCATTCATAATTTGAGGATCCCATTGTGGCATTTAAAGGAATGGGAAAAAAATAGTTCAGGGAGGCTTCTAAATGAATAAAGTCCTTTGAGATTCGATGAAAGTCAATTAACTTGAGTGAGTTTTCCTACTAAAGTTTTTAGTCTAGATCTACAGTCTAATATGGAAGTCACAAGTGGCTATTGAGCACTTGAAATGTGGTTAGTTCAAATAGAGATGCACTAAAGTTGTAGAATACACACCAGATTTTGAAGATTTAGTATGAAAAAAAGAATGTAAAATATCTCAGTAATTTTGAATATTGATTACATGTTAAAATTATAATATTTTGGATATATGGGGCTAGAAATATAGTATTAAAATTATTATTATTATTAAAAAATAATTGTACCTGTTTCTCTTTACTTTTTAAATGTGGCTACTAGAAATTTTTAAATTACATTTGTAGCTCACATTATATTTCTATTGGACAGGGCGTGTCTAGAGTATACATTGTGACTGACTTCTGAAGATTTGATAAAACAAATTAGTTAATATCTACCTCTCCAACAGTCATCATAGATTTAACAGAAAAAGAAAGTATAAACTTGGATATTTTAATAGACCATAAGAGTATTTATATAACAGCAAATACAAAGATGTTAGAAATCTAGAAGAAGGAGAATTGTCTCCAAATTAACCATAGGAAAGAGAGTTCCAAAGCTTGAAAATAGTTGCCATTCTTTAAGAAGCAATAACCCTAATGTTGAGAAGGACAACTGGGCTAAATTATCTTGGTACAAATATTCTTTCAACATCACTCAACTTTTTGCTATTCCCATGTTAAGTCGCCTTCTATTTTGGATGGTCTTGGTGCTTGCCAAGATGAGGAACTTTTTCTGAATCAGGTGGGGCAGTTTTAGAAAACCCCCTGTCCAGCTGCTATTGTTTCTTAAATTAAGAATTTGAGCCTTTCAAAACCTGTCCTCCAGAAAGGAAATACTCTAGACAGTCTGTAGAAACCTGGTTACAATAGCACTTTATATCTCAGCAAATCCACTCCCAGGTATTCCCCCAAGAAAAATGAAAACTTAAGTCATTAAAAAAAAACTTACACATGAATATTCATAGCAACTTTATTCATGATAGCCAAAAATGTCCATTAGCTGATGAATGGATAAACTGTGATATATTCATTCAGTGGAATGCTACTATGCAATAAAAAGGAATTAATTACTCATATATGCAACAATATGGATGAATCTCAAAACAAATATGCTTAGTAAAAGGCACCTTAGAAAAAAAGAGTGCATACTGTATCCATAGAAAAAAAGAGCGCATACTGTATGCTTTCATTTACAGACTAATCCGCAGTCGTAGAAATCAGAACAGTGGTTGCCTAGGGCAGAGGGTGGGGGGTAGATTGACTGCAAAGGGGCAGGACAGAATTTTCTGAGATGAGAATGTTCTATTTCTTGATTGGAATGGTGGTTATACAGGTTACCTTTGCCAAAAAAAAAAAAGCATCAACCTGTACACTTAAAATGTGTGAATGTTATTGTATGTAAATTATACCTCAATAAAGTTGATTTCTAAAAAAGAAAGGAAAAGAAAAAGGAAGTAGGAAGGGAGGGAAGGAGAGGGAAGGAGAGGGGAGAGAAAGAAGAAAAAGTACTATAGAGCTGAAATCCCTGGAGGCTGTAGGTCAGAAGCAGTAGAGCACAGTGTGGCATCAAACTCTGTTCAACATCAAGAAGGCAGCCTCAAAGGTGAACGGGAGGTTTGACCACCTCCAACCATTTCCCACCTCCCCCTCAACAAAAACTATGTGAGGTGATGGATGTGTTAATTAACCTTATTGTGGTAATCATTTTGCAATATATACATGTATAAAATCACTATGCTGTACACCCTAAACTTACACAATGTTTTATGTCAATTATATCTCAATAAAGCTGGAAAAAAAAGAGGTGAACAGGAGAGTTGGTAACAAGTGCATATACAGAGAGCCCCAAGAGCCCTTCAAGGAGATGAACGAGAAATTCTAAATCTAGGGATAAAGCCAAGTACAGAACAAGAATGTTACCAGACTTTGGAGACAAGAGCAAATCAGGCAGGTTGAACAAGCATACCCAAAGCATGCTGCTTAATGGATTAATGTCAATCTCAAGTGAAGTTTTACTTTTTTTTTTTTTTTTGGTGAGGAAGATTGGCCCTGAGCTAACATTCGTTGCCAATCTTCCTCTTTTTGCCTGAGGAAGATTGGCCCTGAGCCAACATCTGTGCCAATCTTCCTCTATTTTATATGTGGGCCACCGCCACAGCATGGCTTGACGAGCAGTGTGTATGTCCACGCCCGGGATCTGAACCTGCAAACCCCAGGCCTGCTAAAGCGGAATGCACGAACTTAACCACTACACCACTGGGCCGGCCCCTCAAGTGAGGTTTTTAATGGCACAACATTCTGTCCTTGGCCCTGTCCTATTGAACAATTTTATCAATGATTTGGATGAAGAAGCTGAGAGAGAGAGAGAACAAATAAGATAGATGATATAATCAGGAACAAAAATTAAATCTCCAGTTGTAGCAAAGGGATTAATGTAAGAAAAAAATTATAGTCCTGCATTTAAGTCTTCAAAACTAACTGCACCAATGTATAAGAGGCAAGATATAGCTTAACAGCAGCATGTGTTAAAAAAAGACTGATGGTCTTTTAGGGGTAAAAAGCTCAGTATGTGTCATTAGTGTGGTATGACTGCCTCCACCCCCCAAAAAAATGAAACAAATTCAATCTTAGCTACATCAGTATCTCAAGAGAATGATGATCACTCCTAAATCTAAAGAGAAAGATTAGTTTGTGCTGATCATATCAAACCTAGAGAACTGTGTTCTGTTCTGGGTACCACACTTTAAGGAATAACATGAAAAGAATAGAGCATGTTCAGAGGACCGCATACAAAAGGATGAGGGGACTAGAAACCATGTAATATGAGGAATGACTGAAGGAACTGAGAGTGCTTAATCTGAAGAAGAGATCTCCCAGAGGACACAGTATCTTCAAAGAGTTGAAGAGCTGGCATGCAAAAAAGGAATTAGACTTATTTAGCCCCAATGGATTTAACTTAGACCAATTTCTATTCCTTCTTGGCCTTGAAATTGGTTGGAAGTGTCGGTACAAAAAGAAGGATGTTATGCCAATTCTCCCTAAGAAGAAAATGAGCTAGAACTGTCGCATGGTCTTTTATGGTCCGTTTTCACAAAACTTGACTAAAAAGTTGTGTACAGAAGAGAAAACTCAAATGGCCAATAAATCTATGAAAATACACTCAACTTTACTAGTTATCAGGGAAATGCAAATTAAAACAACACCTATGTAAGATGATAACATTAGGGTAAATGAAACTGGCTGAGGGGTATATGGGTACTCTCTGCAATATCTTTGCAACTTTTCTGTAAATCTAAAATTATTCCAAAATAAAACGTTAATTAAAAACAACAATACCCTTCACACCTACAAAATTTTTTGTCTGATAATACCAAATATTAGCAAGGATATAGGGAAAAGAGAAAGAGAGAGGGAATATTAATTGTTAAACTACTTTGGACAGCAATTGGACAATACTTATAAAGTTAAAGATGCTCATAGCTTTTGACCCATCAGTTCCACTCCTAAATGTATATACCCTGGAACAGCACTGCCACTAGAGGGTAGCCACTAGCCACATGTGACTACTGAGCACCTGAAATGTGGCAAGTCCAAAATGATATGCTTTAAGTATAAATAAAATACATACTGGACTTCAAACACTTTGTAAGAAAAAAAAGAATGTAAAATATGTCATTAATAATTTTTGTATTGATTACATGTTGAAATGATAACATTTTGGATATACTAAGCTAAATAATTTGTAATATTAAAATTAATTTCATCTGTTTAAGCTTTTGTTAATGTGGTTACTCGAAAATATAAAATTATTTGTGTTTGCACTATGGTTCAATGGGACAGTACTGCCCTAGATCCTCACCCACTAGTGCTCAAGAAATAAATCAATTTAGTTGGTCATAACCAGCATTTTTTAATTAAAAAGCATAGAATAGAAAACATCATAGTGCACTGCGTGTAATAAGGGTAAGACTGTTTCAAACTTTTGATATGGTGTGTATGTACTGGGATGTGATGTAAAATATATTTCCTTGCCATGAGTGGTAGTCAGAAATGCTTGAAAGCTCCTGATAAGCTCTAGGAAACACAATGTTCATTGTAGTGTTGTTGTTATGTAACAGCAAATATTTAAAACAACTCATATATTAAAACAACATATTTGAAACAACAACAAAAGAGATTGGATAAATAAATTGTGGTACACTTCTATTCAACGTAATAGTTCTAATCAGCAGGGCAAATAAATGAACTAGAGCTAAAATATCCATATGGGTAAATATCCAAAACATAATGCTGAGCAAAAAAAGGCAAGTTACAGAAAAAAATCATACAAAATGATATAATTTATGTAAAATTTTCAAAGATGACTAACCGGTGCATCTAATCTTCTAGTTCTTTGAAACAATGAAATACCTGAAGCATATGACAAACTGTTAAGATTCAACAAAACTTACTGGTAGGTATACAGGTGTTCATTATATTATTTTCTATACTTTTCTGTGTGCTTCAAATATTATGTAAATATAAGGGCTCAAATACAATATACTTAAAAGTCATAATCCTTATTCCATGTTTATATCTTTAAGATACCATATCCTAAATTAAAACATGAGGTAAGAGGTAGTGGGCTTTGTTGCTGTTGTGCTAAAATGACAAGAATTAACAAAATATTGACCCAAACATTTTTAAATCATGGATTTGTAGCCACCCTGGCTACACATATGTCATTATTGTATGAATAACGTGAAATATATATGAGTGTGAATATATGAATGTGAATGTATCACAGGTCTAATCATGTACCCAGAAAAAAAGAAATAGTGTAAACATTCCCATATCTGGCACGGTTGAGGAATCTCTTGTTCTGGTCAAATTGCTTTTATTAATAATTACCATAAATACCATACAGAGATTACCAATTTTCAAAAGAATTAAGATACAATAAAATGCAGTTAAACCTAAAACTATACAGGATATAATTTATTTTTCACTGATGATTTTGGAAAGGCACTCCAGGATCTTGCAGTAATTTTTTAAATATACATTTAACGCAGTAGATTTCTATTTCAGATTAAACCAATGTTAATTTGCATGCAATAAAAATCCTGAGAAAACAAGCTATGAATTGTGAATTCAGTTTCCCTACACTAGCATATAAAAGGGTTCCAGTGTCTTAAACATCTACATTGTTTTTCTGGTACACAAATAAGAAAACTTGGAGCTATGGATACTCCAAAGAGATAAAATTCAGAAACAAAATACATTTAGAAGATTTTAGATAAGGCAGCAAACAGTTTGACATTTTCTTTACTACCATGTAAAGCTATATACCTTTAAAGTCCATGAAACGAAAATCAACATCGTCCATTTTTAAATCCCTGGCTCAAGCCTATGAAATAAAAAAAAATTTTAATCTTCTGTCCTTTATCATCCAGTCCCTCAATAAATTTCTTTTCAGTGAAATTTTTCCAGTTACCTGTTACCCAAAGGAAAAAAAATCCTGAAGAAATTTTAAAACTCAGAAAAAGTAGTTAATGAGGGGTGGGGCCAGGAGTCATGTCACAGGAATCTGGCTCGGAGGAAATTTTCATCCCAAATCTTTTCTTACCATAATCCGCCTGGCAACCAGGAAACCAGGGTACCCTGTGATTTGTCTGGCTGGTACTCGTTGCCTCTTCCTAATTGGTTCAAAATCCCTCTCTCCACTGCCCATACGTTCAAAGCACCCAATCACTCACTGGCCTTTTTCCCGCTCTCACAGACCCAGCTAGCGCGCCTTCAGCTCCCCGCCCCCAACAGTCACCAACCATACGGCTTCAACGGAATGTAGGTCCTTCACATCCAAACTACAATAACTACTGTCTCCCGCTTTCAGTGACCCCACAATGCTCCCCATAATTCATCCAAGTCAAAAAATCCTGCCTCTGCCCATCTTCTTTCACCTGAGAGTCAGCTACAGCAGCTCTGTGGTTCAAAATCATTGCCTCAGGGCCACTCTAAAAAGTGTTGACCTAATGGCCGCATCTTCTTGCTAGTTATAAACCACTCAACTGACCCGTACCTGACCCTCCTCTAGCCCTTCCTACCTACTAAATCAGTCACCTCAGCCGGGACCGCCAACGTGCCACAGTGCTGTCTCCACAAACTCCGTCCACAGTGCCCGACGACGCTTGGAAAGCTCCTCCCCCTATAGTGACGTCAATCAAAGACCACTTCCTATTGGCCTTTACTGTCTATCTCATATCGCGAGCCTAAGCCTTGGGGCGCAGTCTAGGCCTTCAATCCTGGGGATTAGTTCAGAGGGCAGGGGTGAGAATCACTGAGCGTAAGGAAGTATGGTGCAGGATTGGAAGCATACTACAATTATTGAGGGAAGAGTGCAGATGGCCAGGGTTATGGGAAAGAGGAGAGCAGGCCTTCAAAAGAAAGAAAAGGGACGCAGGGACGAGGGAGAGGAAAGGGGAGAGGGGAGGGAGGGAGGGAGGGAGGAAGGAAGGAAGGAACAATGTTGCCCACTGATTAATCGTGAGTGGCGAAGGTCAGCAATATCAGAAGTTGAGGAAACTGAAAAACCCTGTAGTTCCAAGACATGTTTCTGCTGACCTGTCCTTGTCAAATCCGAAGGAAACTAACTAATGACTCCTCTGCAGGCTCACAGCAAGGGCAGGGGTCCCACCCATCTCCAAACAAATGGTTTTAGGGATGGGGATGGAATATGTAAGTAAACATGTTTGATTCCAGCTGAATCTATAGGTGATGCTTGCAACCAAGGAGTTGGCCTCTACTTAAAGCTCCACTCAGAGACAACAGTGTTATGGCATGATGCCTCCAAATATGGAGAAGAACCAAAAAAAAAAAACATTAGCAAGCCTCCCACTTCTTCCCTCACATACCCCTCTTTTAAGCCTTATGCACCTCAGTCAAGTCAGCTAGGTAACTGGCTAACAGGATGAAGAAGAGAGATTGTGGCTTCAATTCTGGGAACATTAACAGAGTTCCCTTCTGACCCTAAGACTCAAAATCAGTGATTATTTATCATGGAAAAGATGGAGTTTCTAAAAATAATTTCTTTCCTTCTTCAAAATTTTCTGCATCTAGATCACATAGAGTGAAGAAAAAAGGGAAAACAGAGAAAGTACTGCTATTAACTTCTCTTCTTTTGCTTCTTGCAATATGGTATTCATTTCACAATCCTAGATTGCTAAATTAGAGGAAGAAGTCTGGTGGAAAAGGGCAGTAGAGTGTCCCATAGCTGACTGAATCCTCATGCACCGCGTACTTTGTGACCTGGTGCTAGCTACTTAGAATCTCAGGACCTCAATTTCCTCTTCTACAGAATGGGAATAAAAGTAGTTCTAGGCTTCTGGTTCAATAGAATAGTGTACATAAATCATCTAGAACAGTGGCTGGCATATAGTACATGCTTAACAAATGTTAGTTCCCATTATCGTTCCCCATTTCCTGGTTGGCAAACTAAGGGCTCCCAACTTCCATCATCCCACCCAGGCCCCTGGCTCTACCATAACTTCTTTGTTCATGGATGAACAGATGAACAAATAGGGCGATAATTAGACCTCAGCTCTCAAGCCTGCAGTGGTCTCTTCACACACATCTTAGAGCTCTTAGTGATTAATAATGTCTGTAGTAGAATGGATATTATATTATCCAAGATTATATAAGGCATACAGAATCAAATGACTCTATTGATTAATACTGACTGTAAATATGACTCCAAAGTCAGAGCTACTGAGCAGGCACCACTGCATTGAAAGGGCCAGTGAATAAAGGAAAATATGCAGAAAGGGTGGAAACCCTTATGTTGTATGAGTATCTCCAATATTTTTGTTTTTGATCTAGATGGCCTCCCTAGATGCTGTAAGAAAGAGAGAATTAAAAGGACAGAAAAAAAGTAAAAGAGAGAGAGAGAAGAGGAAAGGAGATAATAAAAGAAGCAGGTGCATATTGAGGAGGATATGCAAGAGTGAGTAGTAAAATGCCATTAAGAGGCATTCAAAATGCCGTAGATTATCTTCCCTTACCCTAGCATAAACTATAAATTTCCTGCTCCTACCTTTTGAAAAATTGAAGCAAAAATGGTGAAATAGTTAGATAGTACATAAGGCTGGTGAACAGCTTGGAATCTAATGAGAGCTAATTAAGATTCTCATTAATAGAGTGGATTAAAAGAGAGTAAGCAACGAAGAATGCAAATTACTTAATAAGGTGGCATTATATCTTGTTAAAAGAACAAAAACACTTTCAGCATAAATATGCAGTTATAGTCAGGAAAATTATAAAAACAAAAGCAATAATAGAGTAAGGGACAGGGGCTTGTTATCCCAGACATTAAAACTACCGTAAATAAAATTGTGTGGTAATTGTACAGACAGATAAATGGAACAAAAGAGAGTCCAGAAACAGACCCAAATATATAGAGCAATGATTCAAATCACTGGGGAAAAGAGTTACTCACGAAAAAGTATTGAAACAACTGGATAGTCATTTTAAAAAATAAAACTAGATCCCTGCCTCACTTCACATACCAAAATAAATTCTGGATTAACCAAAGATTAAACTGAATCATAAAATTTCTAAAAGAAAATATGAGTGAATATTTTATAAACACAAAGGCAAAATATAAACACTATCTGAAAACCAGAATCAAAAAGGAAAACTAATGATGTTTTACAAGATAAAAATTAAAATCTTCTGAATGGCACTATAAGTAAGGTTGAAATACAAACCACCAACTAGAAAGAGATTTTTTTCAACATACGCAACAGTTAAAGAGTTAACATATCTAATGTAAAAGGAGTTCTTAAAATTAAAAAGACAAATACTCTAACAAGTCAGCAAAGGACATGATCAGACAACTTACACAGGAAGAAATATAGCTAATAAACACGTGAAAAAATACTCAACCTCAGCAGTATCAAAGAAATGCAAATTAAAGCAAGGTAAATTTTTTTCATTTATCTGATTGGCAAAGGTTAAAAAGATTAACAAAACCTCAAGTTGGCAAGTTACACAAAACAAGCATTCTTGTGCACTGTTGGTAGGAGTACAAATTATTGCAACTTTTCTGGAGGGCAATTTGGCAATATGTATCAAAATCTTAAATGTGTGTACCCTGTTACCAGACAATTCCTCTTCTAGGAATTTTCCTAAAGAAGAAATTGGAAAAATTTGCGAAGACAGATTAACAGAAACATTCGCTGAAGCATTGTAAACCCCTTAAATGTTCACCTAGTTAAATGTGGCCTAGTTATACAACTTAGGGTACATTAGTACCAGATAGTGGAATACTTATACAGCCTTTAAAAACGTTGCTGAGAAAACAATCTAAAGGTATAAAGCTAGAGATATGCCTATATCCTACCGTTAAGTTTAAACAAGAAAAATGTTAGCAACTACTCAAAAAGGTATAATTATATAGATTTGAGTGACTAAAAAACTCTTGGGATTGTTTCCACCTGGGTGTGAATAGGGAGCGACATAAGTGGCTACAGGAGCCAACTAATCCCACTAATACGTAATCGTAAAAAAAAAAGTTTATACAGAAGGTATACATTTATGTAAAATTGTATGCATATTTGAAAAAAAAGTCTGGAAGAATATTTACCAAAATATTTACAATGTTTATCTTTAAGTGGTAGGATTTGGGAAAATCTTTACTTTCCTCTTTATATTTTTCAGTTTCCTACAATGAACACATATTTTTATTAGGAGAAAAAAAGCTATTTTCATTAAAAAATCCACAAGAAGATGAGGGAGTTTTTATCTGATGGGCATGTGTTTTCTCAATAAAGTATGAGGCAAAGTCAATAGCAGGAAGTAGGAGGGAGAGATTTGAAGAATGTGAATAAGGTAAGAAACAGTTGTTTCAGAGAGCAGGGGAATCAGAGAGAAATGAGGATTTCCAGCAGTGTTGAGGGTTGATGATCATTAACCTGCCCAGTGGTGTGATTGCCTCCAACAATCCTGAACTACACAGGTGCAAGTATGGAGAAGATACTTGGATTCTCTGCTTTGTGGCGGGAATACTCTGGAGTATTGCCTAGGGAGGTGAAGATATTTGCAAGAGTGATAATGATAATAAATTCAGGAATTTAAGTGGGAAAGGGAGCAAGCAAAGATTGGAGGAAACTGATAAAAAGAGAGAAAGCATATGTGGGAGGGGGAAAGTGAATTGGAGGATTCATGAAGTCAAAGAATTGTTGCAGTGGGGTTACTTGAGCAAGTGAGCTGGGGAAGCTCAGGAAGTTGTGCGTAGAGAACTTGATGCTTGAATTAGTGATTTCAGAGGTGTAGATTCTGGCAAGATCTAGGGTATAACCATGTGACTGGGTAGCTGAAGTGTAATTCATT